AGTCCATCCTAATAGAAAAAAATCCCAATGAAATCCAGCTGGTTTTCGTAATGGATAATGTTTAGCTTGAGCTGTTAAACTTGATACATTATGATCAAAATAGAATAATGCTGTAACTAATAAAGCAAATGGTATTGCAATAAAAATATATTTAACATCTAAATCTGAAGGATTAACAAACCACGAACGTGTAGAAACTGTTGGTTGATAAGCAGATGTAACTGCTAATCGTTCAATATTGGTTGAACGTAAATGACCTGGAATAAAAGCAAAACCAGACCAAAAAATAACACATAGAATCATAGCATAATCAACAAAAAAATCACGAATAGTTCGAGTAAAATAACTTGATTGACCTATATGTGTTAATACCCAATAGGAGAAAAAGAAGCCAAAAGCTACTAAAACTGACATAAATCCTTTTGTTGATGATTCATGAAAATCATCAATTATAAATTCAATTCCTTTTTGTATATAAACAGCACCAACATAAAAACCAAAGATTTCTGCAGTAAAATTTGTCATATAACGAACATATGTCACTAAGTTAAATATAGCAATAAGCCAATGAAAAATAGCTGCCCATATAGCTGTCCAACACATAAAAGATAAATAAGGCACTTGAGAATTTCGACTGATGATATTGTAAGTTGTATAATTAAATAAACTAATTAAACCAGTAAAACCAACGATAGATATTGGTTGTACAGCTAATAGACCAAAGACAATACCTGAAAAATATAATTGAATTTATGATCTATCGGAACTAAGATAAAGTCTTTAGAAGAAAAAACTATATATCAAACCTCCGAGAGCAGATGCAAGTAAAGCTTCATTAACTCCATAATAATGCTCACTACGTAAATATAAATCAAGAGCATAAGCTAATGCTGGAATCGTATTAAGAAAAAATATACGAATTGTAGCAGCAAATATACGATAAGAAAAAGCTAATTTCCAATCGGATAAATAATAAGGTAAACGTATTTTAACATCACGAATCATTCCAGCAAATGGATAACAAATTGATGTATAATGTGATGAATAACCAGATTTTGGATCAATATTATTTTCATCTTCAGTAGCTTGATTAGTAATAGAAATATCTACTAATTCACCATTTGATTGTTGAAATGAATTATTCGTATTTCCTCCGTGTATATCATTCATCATGAATAAACTCTATGAAAATAGAAATGATCCGCTTTCAATCGATGAATAATCGAAATAAATGTACTCGTCGGTCATATATACAATTTAATGTATCGAGCTATTCATTTTATACCATCTGAAGAATATCATTCTCTTCACACTGTGCATGTTTTTACTTTCTTTAATGTAGTGTGTATTATTTCTTTAGTAGCCTACGGGTTATTATAATATCCAACAACTACTTATATTTTATTCATCATAACTATGTGTGATGATAATAAAAATTATTTTTTTTGTATGTGAAGGTAAAGACAAACATTATCGATATATTAAATTTGACATAATCGAATTTGGCTATTAATTTATTACAATATTGCTAGACGGAAAAAAACAATCATTCTTTTGTACTGAAAGTGCAAACGGATAATTTATTCTTCGTCAGTAGCCAATAATTGAAAATTTATATTATTAACTTGCTTAATTATATTTGTATAGATGTGTGTTTACTCAGACATTCCGTCAGCAAGTTTATTAAGTATACAAAAAAAGTCAATGTATTGATTCTAAATAAATAAGTAAGAAAATTGTAAAATGCCATTGGAAGACATTTACTTAAAGATATTTGCCATTTACATTGAAGAAAAATGTATAGATGTACTCGACCAAATCGAAATTTATTTCAATGAAATAATTTATCACGGATTCTTAACGAATTATATTTATAGAAAATTTTGTTTTGATAAATATAAATTATTAAAAATTCAAATTCTTTTTTTAGTTTATTTACATGAATAAAAAGAAATTATATTTATTTGATAGTATATAGCTCTGGGTTTTACATCAAATATCAATCATGATATTTCATTTAATATATATTTTCATTTCAAGGTCGATGAAGATTTAATCAATCAATGTCCTTTAATCAAGGATAAATATTTATTTAAAAAAAAATAATGCAAAGATTTTTCGAGATAATTTTCAAGGATATCATAAACATGTTGATACAAAATTCGTAATTAATATGTATGATTTAATAAAATAGAGATAGTGTTTTTTCGTAAACAAATAACAAATCATAATATGTCTTCACACGTAATGTGTCTTCAGATGCTTACTACGTTATACGTGAAATGTGACGAGCACTCAAAAATATAGGTATACAAACCTGTTAGAGCGTAACAACACCTTGTCATCCAGTCTCTATACCACAAAAATTTGTGCACTTATAGTAATAAAAAGAGATTTTTTTTTATTTTTTATAAAAATTAAACAACCATTTGTTTTATTTTATTCGAATTTACACAATTATTATTAATATTATAAAGAACACATATTTGATTTCTTTTTTCTAAAAAAAAAAATTATTATTTTATCTTCAGTCAAAGAGTATAAGACAAATAACACAACACCCAGAAAGAAAAAAAAATCTATGCAACAATTCTAACTCGAGGAGTAACGGTGAATGATAATATACTATTATTATTATTATTATTAGATGATGCTTGTCGATGTTTTTTAAACAGACTTGCAGCACATGCAAGAGCACCTCCTTGCAAGAAACGAACGAGTTTATCTCCGGCTAATGGACCTAATGCATAAATATTTTCAAAATCGATACATTCGTATGTATAAGGGTTAATATGAAGACCATTATTTTTTTTCACGGTCAACGATGAAAGGAAAGGAATAGTCACATCAGAACCAGTTAGTCTAGCCACGACTGATATATCATAGTCCGTTGTTATATGAGTACGAAGATTACGTATATAAACTGCACCATCTTCAGTTATTGAAATAATTTCACTTTGTGGACAACATTGATAAGACCATTGAGATGATGATAATGACTAAAATAATATATAAAATTTAATTTCCAAATAATTCAAAATTTTTTTTTTAAACTTACCGTAGATGTTGTTGTTGTTGTTGTTGTTGTAGTTACTGATTGTCTAATTAATTCTCTAATACGTTCATATTCAGGAAAAACATTGGCAGGCAATTGATTGAGTACAAGTTCATGATCATCAATGGCTCGACGAAATACATGTAAAACAGGTATTGAATATTCTTGACATAAAAGAAGTATATCAATAGCTGTTAAACCACATCCAATAACCAGTACAGGTTTACTATTCTGTGTTAATTTCTTTTTATTTATAATTAATTCTTCTATATCATGTAATGTTGTATAAGTAAATGATTTACTTGCTTGTTCACCAATTATTCCTAATGGCCTTGTTATATTTTGTGGTATACCAGTTGCTAATACGACATATTTCGTATGTATTATAAATGGTTCTTTGGTTTGTTCATTATAACCACGTATTTCCCATAATGGTTCTGGTGTATGAATTTCTTCTGCAACATCATCATAAAATGGTGCATCAACAGACACACGTTTAATTGATGTTACTTCACAACCATTACGAAAATTATTTGTTAAACGATTTCGTTTAACATAATGAATATAATATGATCGAACTTCATCATAAGTTGCTCGTAGAGATACATCATCCGTCTTTATGGTTGATTGATCATTATTTGTTAATAAACGACTACGACATGCTCGACGTTGTTGTCGAAATGTTGACATTGGATAATTTGGTAATTCCATCCAGTCAGCCATACTAACTGTTTGTAATTGTTTCGATGTTAATTGATTCCAAACACCACCTATACCACCACGTCCAAGACAAATATGATCAATGTTCAATGATGGATCATGACGCCATTTTATTTTCGATTGTAAATGTGCACCAAGGTCAGCATCTGGATGGACTAAATTATCAATAAGTAATGAAACAGGATTTCTTGATCGACCTTCAAGACCATCGGATAAAAATTCTAAATCCTAAAATAGATTAAGAAAAAAAAAATATTATTTTTATCTATCAAAAAAACAAATATATCAATAGATAATTGTGTGTACTTTGGTCGGACTTTTTTCGCGACAAATAAATTTATCATGAGAATAGTTAAACAGATGATATATTTAGTGTTTATCTTTTTCTCACGGACTAAGCTGTTTTATCGTACTAACCTGTTCAAGTAAAGATGTATCTTTAACATATTGTTCTAATTTTATATTTAAATAGTCATTCGATACAGGACAACCGTTCCAATAAGGTATATGACCGGAAAGAATATAAGATAGAACAATAGCGGATGGTCCATTACCTTGAAAATAGAATGAATTTAGCTTAATATAATAAATATAAATATATACATACCAATAACAACAACTTCTTTACGTTCACAAAGATCAGGACAGCATTGTTCTGTAGTATGGGTGTTCATTTGATAAAGAAGTTTTTTTTTCTTGTAGTTGTTCTTAAGTTACAATTGCTAGAAAATGTCTGTGTTTCTGAAAGAGCAAAGCAATAAATATCTTGATTCTGCTCCGTAACCGAGTGTAGAAGGAAAAAAGATAGATGGGAGAATATGCCTCGTCATTCTTCGATTATATATTCTTCTATTTCTCTTTTTCTCTCTCTTTCTGTTTCTCTCTCTCGGTCTCTCGCTCTCTCTCTCTCTCTCTCTCTCTCTCTCTTTCCCCTTCTCTTTTCTCTATTTTGTTCCGAGCTTTGAGAGAAAGGGTTTTTTTCCTGTTCTTTTCATAATTGAGAAGAAAGAAAGACAGAAAGAAACAAAAAAAAAAGCCATAAACAGAAGGTTATAATCTCTTGTTTTCGTCCTTAATGATACCAAAATAACAGCCGATAATATGAACGCCAAGTTCATTTGCTATTTATAGAAAGGAAAGAAAAGAAAAACGTACTGTGTGCTAATCAAGTATATCGTTCAAGGAAATGAAACATTGTACATTAGTCATTTTCTTTCCTTCTTCCTGTACGATGACCAAGTATTCTCGCGTACGCGAACGCACTGTGTATCGGTAAAAATATTTCTTTCTTTTTTTTGCTCGTTCTATTATTTCTACGATGACAGTGCAAATCGTTGAATGGCTGACTAACAGTCCTTCTATCA